GCAGCAGTCCTACACAGAGAACAATGACATATGTTATACTGCAGCAGTCCTACACAGAGAACAATGACATATGTTATACTGCAGCAGTCCTACACAGAGAACAATGATATATGTTATGCTGCAGCAGTCCTACACAGAGAACAATGTCATATGTTACACTGCAGTAGTCCTACACAGAGAACAATGACATATGTTACACTGCAGTAGTCCTACACAGAGAACAATGACATATGTTACACTGCGGTAGTCCTACACAGAGAACAATGACATATGTTACACTGCAGTAGTCCTACACAGAGAACAATGACATATGTTACACTGCAGTAGTCCTACACAGAGAACAATGACATATGTTACACTGCAGTAGTCCTACACAGAGAACAATGACATATGTTACACTGCAGTAGTCCTACACAGAGAACAATGACATATGTTACACTGCAGCAGTCCTACACAGAGAACAATGACACATGTTACACTGCAGTAGTCCTACACAGAGAACAATGACATATGTTACACTGCAGTAGTCCTACACAGAGAACAATGACATATGTTACACTGCAGTAGTCCTACACAGAGAACAATGACATATGTTACACTGCAGTAGTCCTACACAGAGAACAATGACATATGTTACACTTCAGTAGTCCTACACAGAGAACAATGACATATGTTACACTGCAGCAGTCCTACACAGAGAACAATGACATATGTTACACTGCAGTAGTCCTACACAGAGAACCAGGACATATGTTACACTGCAGTAGTCCTACACATAGAACAATGACATATGTTACACTGCAGCAGTCCTACACAGAGAACAATGACACATGTTACACTGCAGTAGTCCTACACAGAGAACAATGACATATGTTACACTGCAGTAGTCCTACACAGAGAACAATGACATATGTTACACTGCAGTAGTCCTACACAGAGAACAATGACATATGTTACACTGCAGTAGTCCTACACAGAGAACAATGACATATGTTACACTTCAGTAGTCCTACACAGAGAACAATGACATATGTTACACTGCAGCAGTCCTACACAGAGAACAATGACATATGTTACACTGCAGTAGTCCTACACAGAGAACCAGGACATATGTTACACTGCAGTAGTCCTACACATAGAACAATGACATATGTTACACTGCAGTAGTCCTACACAGAAAACAATGACATATGTTACACTGCAGTAGTCCTACACAGAGAACAATGACATATGTTACACTGCAGTAGTCCTACACAGAGAACAATGACATATGTTATACTGCAGCAGTCCTACACAGAGAACAATGACATATGTTACACTGCAGTAGTCCTACACAGAGAACAATGACATATGTTACACTGCAGTAGTCCTACACAGAGAACAATGACATATGTTACACTGCAGCAGTCCTACACAGAGAACAATGACACATGTTACACTGCAGTAGTCCTACACAGAGAACAATGACATATGATTTACTTTTGGCAGTACCAATCCTTTATATTTAATCAATAAGACGACCTTAATTGCAGATACTTGCAAAGGAATACAAAATCATTAAAATACCGTGACTCAGTACGGTCAATCAGAGACGCTAAGGGAGATTTAGGATGCAATTATCGGTGGCTAGTCGTTTCTTATTGAAGTGGAAAACGTTAGCCTCTGAAGATAACCCCTGGATTATATACACACTGTTTGTTTCTTCAGATATTAGCAATGGACACGATATTTCGCCAGGTTTATATTGACCGTTCTGTTGCAAGAGTATCGTGCAGATAAAGGATCCAAGTTGTGGTGGTGTGTGTTTGTGTTTTATTTTTTGTGTTACTTTTAGTGTTTTAGTGTGTGCTAGTGTTAGTGTATTAGTGTGTGTGTTAGTGTTAGTATTAGTGTTAGTGTTAGTGTTAGTGTTAGTGTGTGTGTGTGTGTGTGTGTGTGTGTGTGTGTGTGTGTGTGTGTGTGTGTGTGTGTGTGTGTGTGTGTACTGTTCAATAAAAAAACCGTCTGATCGATCACGATTGCGATCGATGAGATGTTTGTGTATTTCCAGTCAAATTGAGATGATGCTTCTGTTAGCAGCATACATAAGTGGTTATACTGGGTTAAATTATACATTCTTACATATAAATAAACATGGTTATGTGTACACGTTTCAAGGTATAATCAAAAGCCGTCTTATGGCTGAAATAAAACTAAACGCAGCGCGAAAGCAGCGTAAATCCTAAATATACTACTCGAGCAAAGTTAAAGACCACCCGATTCCTACAAGTTATGCCATGACAGATTAACTGCAGTTATACGAAAAAATGGGGTGGCTCTTAACTCTTTTGAGTGGTATAACTCACTGTCAGTGAACAACAGAAACAATAAGAACAATTGTAAAAATCAATGCACAAAAAAGAGAGTTTCAAAGCAAGGGATTTTAAGTCATGATTTATTCGAAACTGCGTATGGCATACACGATTACATTTTGGCTATATCATTTATAAATATATTGAATGGCATAATCACGATTTTTTATCACAAGTCCAATTGATCTTTATCTCATAAAGCAAATATTGTTTTACTTATCAAGAATATTTCTGTCAACAACTCCACGAACACAAAGGTTATAAAAAAGTTTCGATGACGTGCCTTGACGTACGATGATAATACCTGTTAATAGCATGGCAGATATTCTGCGCACACGTGTCATAGCCAACTGAGTGGCCAGTGGTCAAACAGAGTTCACCACAGTTTAATGATGTTTGGAACCAATACTGTGATATTTCAAGATATAAGACCGTCAGCACAAAAGCTCAAAGGTGTTAATGTTCGTCATCAGCAGGGTGTCCATGTAATTGCTGTGTTGTGTGGTGTTCGTGGGCATCGACCGACCAACTTCATTAGCCTATAATACCTAATTGGTGTTGGTGTGGGGATGGGGTGGGGGGTGGGGGGGGGGGGGGTGGGGTGGGGGGGGGGGGGTGGGGGGGGGGGGGCTGAGGGTGTGTCTGCGGTGGGATGAGGGTAAATGCAAGTGTATGTCCATAAATGTTAGCATGTACAATTATATTGAGGTGAACATATGCAAGAGCCATTTACCCTCTTCGTGGGGTGACTATGATTATTCAATCAATTCTTTTGGGTAATGAGTAGTCAGAGGCGGAACCATAATTAAAAGGAGTAACTTCAAATGTGTTGGTTGTGGGAGTGTGAGGGCTGGTAAGGGTGCCGGAGTACGTGTCATAATGAACGTGAATGCATACAAAGTATTATTTTATTGGGCAATTTGTTAAAAGGAACCCGTCCTCGGTCCACCTCTTACAGTACACTAACGATTGAGTTACATCATGGCAATATATCCACTCGTGTTTGGCCAGCCAATCCAGTGAGTCTAACCATTTTCACCGTGGTGAGTTGCCACGAAACAAGTTACAGATTCAATTTAGTCGCCTCTTTCAATGAGGTGCTGAGAATATAATCTGATCCCAAAAGAGTTCCAAAGCACGAACTGTGATGCATTTAAACAGTTTACCACAAATACATTTCGTTAATATAAAATAAGAAATGTCCATAAATGCAAAATAACGCTAACTACAACTACCCACCTTATTGCAGGATATGCACGTCGTTAAGTGTTTCCCAAAAGGGATCAATGCGTTCTCCTCTTAAAATGATTTATTTAGTGAACCAATTATTTTCTCGTCAAGGACATCAGATAACATCAGGTTATATTCTTTGGGCAATGGGTGATTGCTATTTCCTGTCATGTCCTTTAAACACTGTCTGGCAATACCGGATGTAACTTGCGGCCATCTTAATTTTACGATGGCTGCCAGTTTTTTTTAGATTGTTTGAGTTATGGAGAAAAGTAGATTGATTCCAGCTTTTGGATACTGTTTTTAGAAATAATACAAATTGTTTATTGTGAAATTACGAAATGAGATTTAAGATGCTGAATCACATGTAAATAGGTCTATTCACTTTTAAGGAGAGATTATGCTCCATGGTATATTCAGTTCCAATCTAGTTCTAAACGAAGCGGTTATTGCCTCCTGGAAACTGACAAACCGTATCCATGTACGATTTGTCTTCAGCAACCCATGCCTGCCGTGAGAGGAGACTAACAGAACCGGGTGGTCGGGCTCGCTGATTTGGTTGATGAATGTCAGCGTATTAAATTGTGTAGATCGATGCTCATGATGCCGATCACTGGATTGTCAGGTCCAGACTCGATTATTTACAGACCGCCGTCATACAGCTGGAATAGGCCTAAGCGCGACGTTAAACAACAAACAAACATATAACTTAATGTTTGAAGTACTTGAAGCAAACTATCTGGGAGAGAAAACTGGAAACGCATCAATCGCCCTCTTTGTACCGTATATAATTCAAAAAGAATTGACGCCAGAGAATAACTCGTCGCGATTATCCGTCGAAGCAGATTCTATTAAGCGTAACAGTAAAAAAGCGGTATAAATTATATAAATGGATCCCTGATAATCAGCGATGAGACCAGGTGTTCGCGAATATGTCTGTTAAGTACAGAGATGTATAACTGGCATTGAGGCTGGGCATGGGTATTTACCGATGCGTACATTACTGTTATTCTGTTATTAAATCAAATGTCATTGTGGACACACGTACACACATAGACCAAACTGTAAAAGTAAATTGTAATATTTTTCTCATAAGTATAAAGACCCAACACAGCTAGAAAACAACACAAATTACTAATGGACAATCCCATCATTTAATGTGACGTATATGAATTGATCATGCATATATCATGAATATAGATACATAACATTATCATATCATAAAAATATTACATTAGCAATTGATACAATCGCATAATACGGAGTTTAGATCAAATATGCAGTATCAGCAATTTATTCAGATGTTATAGTATGAATGTACATTATAAGCTTGTATTATCATCATAGCGAGCACCTGTTAGCCAAACAACCCAACACACACAGCGATCAAACGAGGCTGCGTTAATCTCACAGTCTTACCTTTTCCGAATGACTGTCTTGGGCTTTTGTCTACAACCAAGGCAGCGAAACACACATGATAGAAATGACATTAATACATTCGAATATATGAATTCTTTTAATTCATTATTATAGTAAGAACATTCATTTGATATAATAATTAGCTTACGTTGTAAAACAAGATCTCACCATGAAAGTAATGATATATACATTTTATCATCCAAAACTGGCTCCCACAGGATATATTGCTTGGGTAAGATCAAGCGATATCTACATTGTAGTTATTGCTGCAATGAAATCAACACTCGTTGATATATTTGATATCAAAAGACACTCAGGTCAGATTTTCTATAAATCCAAAATAAGATTTCAAAATGAAAGTAATTATATATCCATTTAATCCAAAACAAGATTTTATCGTGAAAGTAATAATACATTCATTTAATCCAAAACAAGATTTTATCATGAATGTAATGATATTTAATCCATATTTGTTAATTATACCTTATGAAGAAAACTCTACAGAACGTATGGTAATGATGTTACACCCATTAAGTATAAACCTTAAATACGCGAATTAATAATCAGAAAGTATTTTACACGCTGCAAGTTAGATATATAGGGCTCTTTGATTAGAGAACTTAGCTATTTTGAAACGAATGATAGTTTTAGACAATTAAGATTCTACAAGCAGTTAAAATTCTTGGGGCGATAAAAAAATAAAGTATTATTTAAATATTAATCCCCAAAAAATTTACATTGTTGAAAATTGCGTACCCTCCTAAAAAACTATCAGAACATAACCAGAGAACATTACATTAAGTAAGCACAACATGTTGGACGGAGTGGCTAACATTGTCCCGCTGAACCCCATAAATCACAAACGTATTATGTGGCACTCCAGCAACACACACTGTGGTGGGTTTAATCGATCCGCACTGTAAATCTCCTTATCTGATTAACAAGAGCAATAAAGTAAGGGCAAACCTGTGTACATATGATTTATAGACAATGCAGTAGCAAGCTGCATTTCAATCACGACATAATTGGATTTCTAAAAGTTAAGTACCCTCTCGTGACCCCAGTTTAACCCAGAGTCGGAGATTTCTTTGACTGTGGCTCAATGCCGCACTCGGCAATATTCCAGCTAGACGACGACGGTCTGTAAACAATCGAGTCTGGACCATACAATCCAGTGATTGACATCATGAGCATCGATCTACGCAATTGGGATACGATGACATGTATCAACCAAATCAGCGATCCCGTTGGTCACCTCTTACGGAGAGCATGGGTTTTCGAAGACCAATTCTAACCCGGATCTTCACGGGGGCATTACTGTTTAGATATATTTACGTATCATGACCAAACTGACACACCCGTGACATCCTCACTTTAAACCCGTCTAAAACCTTTGGTCAGAGATCTTTCCAGTTCTGCGCTTCCTCGCTATGGAACAAACTACCACCTGATCTTAAGCCGTCGCCATCGCTTTCATCCTTTAAGGCTCATCGGAAAACACACCTTTTCAGACAACACCATCAACTCTACTCCCCTTTCATTAGCATTACTTGCTAACACTATGTAGCGCCATGAGCATTAACTTGGTGAATGGAATCTGGCGCAGTATAAATAAACACTTTAGCCACTGGACTACCCCACAGCCCCTGTAGTGACTTGTAGTGATCTGAGACATTGTCTGAGTCTGATTCGGGTAATCATGAACTGCTACAGAAATATACATAATGCAATAAATAATTTACAGTCAAATAAAATAGATTTTTATTAGTCCATTAAAATTTGCAAAGGTTGCCACTTGGCCCGAACAATATATCGTCGATCTCGTCACATCACAACCCTGTACATCATACTGTGTCGGGAAAATCAGTCTATAGCAGCATGAGAGACTAACGGGATCCGGTGGTCAGGCTCGATGACTTAGTTGATGCATGTCAACGATCTTAATTGCGTGGATCGATGCTCATGATGTCCATCACGGAATTGTCTGGTCCAGACTCGATTATTTACAGACCGCCGTCATATAGCTGGAATATTGCTGAGTGCGGCGTTAAAAAACCACGCATTCCTTGGCTGAAAACAGTCGCCGAAACATTGGAAACGTAAGGTCCAAGACACAACAATGATACCCATATCAAATACATCACCATCGAATTCCATTTCGTGTTTGTCTCATTTGTAGCCACTATCAAACGTGGGTGAATACTTTCTTTTTCCCGACAGTGTGTGGGCCGGATCACATATCAGTACCAACCGATCCCCATTCAGCCCTTACGTAACCCTTTGGGACAAGAGACCCATTCTACCCAGAAGTCCTCATGATGAATACTTTATATGATATTTTGGAATGGTGTTTAACGCTATAAATGAAAACAGCAATATCACGACAATGATGTCAGGTTCTGGTCATTATTATGTACTGAACCCGTGATTGCAAGCCGGGTACGATTGTATACTAAAGCAGCCAGGTCGCAGCTAGTAGCTGGCATTTTCATGTACTCGTCAGTCAAAGTGAATTCAATTGTTTAAAACCGCTGTGACTACGAAATCAAAACTCACGTGTATTGGTAACAAGTTATCTAACGTAAAGGCCTTATAGTGAGTGAGTGAGTGAGTGAGTGAGATATTTCGCGTTAGTGGATACTCGTGATGTCGGGTTCATCTGCTTGTAAGCGCAAGAACTTAGAGAACTTAGAGAACACTAGGAGATGCATGAGTCTGACTTGGCGCCACTTTGAACAGTGTATCAGCTTGGTGTGAAAGGAAAACCCGAAGTGAACACCGGTATGGGGCTGTCAAACCAATTCCAAAGGTCATAATCGGCGATTATCTGGGATTCGAACCCAAGATCTCTACGTCTATATAATCTACAGTAGCTGTTTCGGGGGAACGGGATGCCAAGTCGTCTGAGGCGGTGCAAGTCGATGTGCAGAGTTGCGTCCCTTAGGCGTACCAGAACCATATGATCGTGTGTTCGAATCCCAGTTCGCCATAGTTATGTTTCTAAGTTTGTCAGCAGTATCCTCCTGGGTGGTAAGGTAATGAGCGTCTAATACCCACATCACAGGTGTTTCCCCACGTCAGCCGTGATAGAACTGAAACACTCTTCAAATCGACGTTAAGCCAAACTCACTGACACCCCACTTAGTCACCCTTACCGTAACCATAGATGGACTGTGTAGCGAACATTTAACCACCTCAACACCATTATAGTACCCCACACGTGCCCGCCCTACGTCAAAGGGTAATAAATTGATAACAACAATCCTCCTAAACATCATCATCCCGCTGTCAAGATTATCTACACGCCAGGCATGTTGTCTTCGTGTACAGTTGTCAGGCAAGTAGTACCAGTTCTGATAAAACCTGGGGGGGGGGGTCCAGATAACTATCTATCCCCTCTATTACCCCCAGGATCGTCTTCCAATAAACCCCACTTCCCTAAAGCTTCACAGTTGATTTTAAACATGAAATCACTTGTGTGCTTTAATAGCATTAGTCCGGGAAGATAAATGGCATCGCGTTGGAGAGAGAATGAATGGAAGAAACCAGAGTGGTTTCTCGTTATTGAAAATAAATTGCTGGTACATCTTGGATGTCATGGAGTAGGGTCCAGATGGTTGGGTATAATCGTTTTTGCATTTTAGTTGGCATAGCAACCGATTTAGGTCAACCGTTGTCTGAATGAACATTTAATTGCAGAGGCTAAATACCATGTAGCTATGACATGTATGTGTCTAGAATCACTCAACAGCCAGTACTTATAAGAGGATAATTCCTATTGTATCTTCATCACCATTGCATTGTATTTTACCGTTAACCAACCTGAACGAACTGTGAAAGTAAGTCACTTCTCATTAATTACCGTTATTTCTGACTTTATCCGTGTCACGCGACCTTGGTTCCATCAATAAGCCTTGTTCCAGAGGCGGAAGAAGGAAGGTATCACCCTCAGCCGAGCTGAGGTTGGGACAGGTGCTCCGGGGCATCAGCATCACCATCATCACTACTATCATTATGCGCTGACCTGGCGCATAGTGCGTTTTGTAAACATCTACCTGTATAGGGCGGTCGGGTAGCCTAGTGGTTTAAGCGTTCGCTCGTCACGCCAAAGACCCGGGTTCGAATCCCGACATGGGTACAATGTGTGAAACCCAGTTCTTGTGTCCCCTGGCGTGATATTGCTGTAATATTGCTAAAAGCGGCGTTAATCAATACTCACTCCTGTATAAAGCAAACTTGTATAAACCACAAGCTGCTTACTTGATGTTGTCACTTCCTAGCAAAAAACGTACACCGATTGCTTGAAACAATCCTAATTAACGTCACAAACGTGTAACGCACTCACAACATGCGCGTTGTTATGGCGATACGAATATGAAAACTCGTTAATCTAGTGCTCCACAGACAAGTACTATTAGAGAACTCAAGTCTAAACTACCGGGCAAAAGAAAGCATACACTTAACATTGGATTTGACCAAGCAATGACAAACCTTATTAAAACGTTACGGGGCTGAAAACTGATATAACGCTTGTCTGTTATTAGTGGAAGATGTACTTCTTTGAAGGAACAAGACAGGTCTTTCTTCATGGTCTTGGATTTTCTATCCAGTTTGGCCCGGAAATCCCATCAGCTTCATACTGATTTGGGGGCGGTCGGGTAGCCTCGTGGTTAAAGCGTTCGCTCGTCACGCCGAAGACCCGGGTTCGATTCCCGACGTGGGTAAAATGTGTGAAGCCCATTTCTGGTGTCCCCCGCCGTGATATTGCTGGAATAGTGCTAAAAGCGGCGTAAAACCATACTCACTCACTCACTCATACTGATTTGATAAGTTTTTAAAACTGTACTTAAAAAAACGATCAGCTCCTGCAGTAAGTGGCATAGGTGGTGTGTCACTGTCTCTTTAGAATCTCTGACTGGACCAAGTCGGTGGAAGTAATGGGTGTGACTCCACGTATGCCAAGCGTTGGATTCCAAATGCCTATCACAAATTTCACCAACACCCTTGAAGTGACTAACGTCTACACGTGACAAAACAGAACTCGTTAGTTTGGAAGATGCAAGTGAAAAACACGGGGTTTTTTCGGGTTGCCATAATATTGCATGTGTATGAAATTGCAATGGATTGTTGATAAAACATCACGGGTAATGAACAAGCACAAAAGATACGCCCCATTTGACTGCACGTCACACAGAGACAGTCCGAAATGCGGCAAATGAATACCAACCACGCCCGTATTGCAAGAAACTTCAGCTGTAGACGTGAATAACCATCGTCAGACTGTTTAAACGTTACAGACAGACCAGCAGTACACGGGTCATGGCAAGACCAGGCAGGCCGCGCGCGGCAAAGCCACAGGATGACCGTTACTTGCGCACTTTGCCTTTGCGCAACATGTTTGTCACAGCGACAGAAACGGCAGGATGCCGCATCAGTCAACGCAATGTGCTACGACGTCTCCGCGTCATAGATAATCGAGCCTACCGCCCCTTCCGTGGAATAGCCTTGACCCATGCATATGAACACCGACGTCGAAGACATCTCAAACAGTGCGCATGACATCAAGACAAACATATATTGATGCGTGCGGGAGTATCAGCTAATCCTGCGCCATAATCCCCGGTGTTTCGTGCAACAAATGATAATAATGTACAACAGATATGAGATATGCGTTATGCAGATTAGAGTAGTAGATACAATATCATCGGTGATACATTATATTATTAACAAAAAATGGCCAAATTAAACCACCAACTATCATTCAAACAGATGCTCTACGCATACTCGTAAGTAGGAAATTGGGTTGGTCTTAAAGTCAATGCTGCATTGTAAAGTATTGCAGTTATATAAATAACAACGTGGCAGTTGGTAGCGAAAGGAAATGCAGGATTTAGACGTTTACTGTTTGGGTGAAACCCACGACAACGACAAATCTACAAACTTGCCGGCGAACCGGCATTCTAGCAAGCCTAGGGGACGCAACTCTTCTCATCGAACTGCGGCTTCGTCATCGACTGGGTCACCCGCAGTCAAACCCCACTATGTTTGAGAAGGCTGGGCTGCGAAGGGTTGAAAATCAAAATGATATCTCTTAGTTGTGCGGGTTTCTCCCTACTTCTTACTGTTTGTCACTCTCATTTTGATATTCATCCAATGTTTGTTTTTATTACCGTAAGTCCGATTACGTCCCCTTGTATGGAACTCTTATTGTTAAGAGTCAAACACTACATGTTAAACCTACCTTCCCCGCCGCCCTACTTTGCGCTTGTCTGTTATTGGTGGAAGATGTACTTCTTTGAAGGAACAAGACAGGTCTTTCTTCATGGTCTTGGGTTTTCTATCCAGTTTGGCGAATGCATCGCCCGGAAATCCCATCAGCTTCATACTGATTTGATAAGTTTTTAAAACTGTTCTTGAAATACACGATCAGCTCCTGCAGTAAGTGGCATAGGTGGTGTGTCACTGTCTCTTTAGAATGTCTGACTCGACCAAGTCGGTGGAAGTAATGGGTGTGACTCCACGTATGCCAAGCGTTGGGTCCAAAATGCGTATCACAAATTTCACCAACACCCTTGAAGTGACTAACGTCTACACGTGACTTCGCTGTTCATTAGGCATACGCAGATCAAGGGCAGGGAATAACTTCCGGTTGTTTTAAATCCATTCAGAGTGATGTCCCTTGGGGAGTTTGAATTGCCCTTCAGTTCACAGGAAAACGTTTGTGGTTGTTTCTGGGCAATGATGGGACTTAAAATGACGAACAAAGGAATGCCAGTCGGACAAGACAAGATGTCCTCGAAAACAGTGTCTGCACTTGTCTCTACACGTGATGTATTGGCCAACTCGTAGCAGCAGCCAACACGGAGCGGTCGACTACTCTACCCTCAGTAACTTATTCTGTCATGTAAGGAATTTCTGTGTTGGTATTGTTAGATAAAACATACATATTGTTAGGCCGAGCTGTTTTACAGTCGATTTCTGCCGTAATGTGTAACAAAATCCACCTTGAAAATGTCAAGCCAACACTATACAGGGATACCACCACTGAATGGCATGCGGCACTATTACAATGCCGATGGATGGGTTCAAGTTTGGTGTTACATATGAACAGTCGAATAAGTTCAAAATCATTTATTCTTCAATACCTCATAAAGCTCGCACGTCAATTTCTTTCTATAATAGCCTAGGCGTTTCGTCAAAAACACGTTGTTAATCAATTGTTTATTTTTTCCGCTTTTGTCTCTTAACAAAAATATGCCACGTTGTTATTCACCCCTTCTGCGAACAATGCAGTCAGTGCTGATGTCAAAATGAAATGAAATGCTAGTGTAGCAACGTCTATGGTCATACAGATTCGCCTCACAGTGTTCAATCTGAACACCGACTAATCCTGTGATAAATTATCCCTGCTTGTCGAGGTTTGACATTTTTGTGGAGTAATGTTCTAAATCACGAGCAGATTGAGAGAGTTATTGTCTTGCTTTGAATAGACTTTGACTTTTAACGCTCGGCCTGTGTTTCTTTGTAAATTACTCAACACACTGCGTCTAATAAAGACGAGATCGATTGTAAATTACCATATTGCTGTTGCAGAATTGATTGTCGAATAAACATGGCACTTGAAGTGCATTATACTTTGGCGCCGCGTTTGTTGCACAAACAAACATTTCAGTCGGATTACCTCGAGGATTTCACTTACAAAAGGACTTAGCACACGACATTGACGTAAATTCAATTATCGATGTAAACGTCTAACTGTGACATGACTAAAACCCTAAATGACACCTATTTTATCGTGTTTTACCCATCTATTAATTGCGCATTTTGATAATATATCTTTGCTGCGCCACAATGCTTTAATATACCCTAACACTTGTATTTATACCTATTCAATCCAACGTATGATTTCTAGAATTAAAAGTCTTTTATATTTAATAAAACAGACAAATTGTATATTTCAATCACGTCAAACTGTTATAGTCTTTTTATACTGTAATGCATTTCGTTCCAATTGATTTATTACTGTTGTCGATTTCACAGTGTGTTTTCATACCATCCATCTCAAGGAGAAGGACCCCCCTAAAGCCGATTATGGTTTATCCTTTTATCGTTAGATCTCTACTTATAGCCTTTACTATCAGAATGTGAAGCACTATTGACATTTTTAATCATATCTGTTGGCTTTAAAGTGATAGATTTCCGAGTCACTTTTTTTGCACTGGCATTTTCAAACGTGTTTTCACTGTTCAATACGTAATCAATGTCGCTAAACATACAAATCAATGAACATGCAGTAAGTGGATACACTGATACATAAATGTATGTACTTTTCCTATGATATAAAACCAGATACTTTCAAACTTTTACGTCATTTATGAACACATTTTCGACTAAGAAACTATTAATGATCTCATATGTCGCGTATTTACATGATCGTCCTCTTCATTTAACGACATAAAATCCATTTGTGTCGTTGACTGAAATGTACACTGTTATTCCTATTGTAATGTCATGAAGTTTCTGCACACTGGTTTAGGTTTTGTAATGTGATCCGTCCATATTCGTATTAAATCCAATTCCAATGTTCTTTTTGTGAGTATGAAAAATCCACCACGTTCATAAAACTCCACACTGCTCCAATACTCAAATCACGTGTCACTTTCTAAATATAATCCATTTCAGTTGTCACTTTCACCGTGAAATCCAAATCCGAAATCAATTTCAACGGAAAAACATACATTCCTCCCAAAACTCGCACCTGTTCTTCGGAAGCATCAATAACTGAACAAATGTCGATTTCACCGTGTCGATTTCCCTGCCTGTCACATGTCAGTGTGCCGCTTGACGGGTGCTCTTTGCTCGACGTTACAACGTACAAACAATGATCCGGGTTACGGACAAGGATACCAATCAATATCAAAATCAATCGATTGCAAATATTGCTTGATCACCCAGCTACTGTTGTCGAACCCTGTATCCCTGCCTAAGAGGATTAACCCTACAGCGCCGGCATATCCCGTTGTCTTGTTTATGATCCTTGTTGTAGATATACAAGTATGTAGGTAGTTTGTAGGAGTCGCGAGACGGTAGGTCACGGAACACATAAGGAGGTGTATAATGCTACTGTCACGATAGCACAATAGCTTTAGATATCATCATGAATATATTCTATACACTTTGTCCACATGATAAATTATGGAAAATGAATTTCATATAAAAAATCAATTAATCTTAATTCATATTCATGGGATTTCGTTCGTCGGGTGCTCTTTGCTTCTGAAAGCAACCGCCCTGTTTGTTTAGCTTCGGGGAAAATTATTTACTGTGTCTAATACAAGGTTTAGTTGTATCATTGTATTCGTGTTTCTGGTCCCGTTCTGAAGCTGATATTGCGATTAGCAAGGATTTTACAGAAAAGTAGAAAGCGAAATGAAACGAAAGGGACAATATCACACTGATATAATTTAAGTTTGTCGATCAAGGTCCCGTTCCACAAAGCGATGTTAGTGCTCAGGTGATCGTAACGCCAATATTAACATAGACTTACGACAGTCGTAGCGCTACGATCGCTTTGTGGAACGGGCCCCACGGCCACGCAACGCGGATTCTATACAACATGGACATTAACTTGAACAACTGTAACCAAAATATCACAATATACAAATATTGTCAGCGAAGATATTATATACTTACGGAACTAGGAACGGATGAAACAGAAATCAACAAATAAGATTTAAATCATCTATACGTAGATATTATTTATAAGTAGAAGGTTGCGCTACCCAAAATCATAAAATGTAAACAAATTGTTCTTCATTAAGCATGTTCATATAATTTCAAACACGCAGACAAATATAAAAATGATTATACAGACAAATAAAATGGTTTGAGCTTACCTGTTTTTCTTTTTTAGATAAGGTCTGAATCAACTGGGATAACATTCCCACAAAACCTCCTGAATAAACATGACGGATAGGTATATGTGTTTATATCTATTAGAGATCGGGTGTGGTTTTCTAAAAGCAATTTGAGATGTGTGTTCTGTATGAGAAAACCTACTTGAACTGAGCTGAGGGTAAGCACGCTTCAATATATGATATATCTACATTCGTTGAGTGGCTGCACGTCTTTCACAGATAACGCGCATGACATCGGTGATGTGTGCATGACATACATGTCGGAGTTACTATGTGATCAGATATCCATTAAAGTGACTACAAACACGTTTGGTTTAAATCAATGGTGACTTTCTTGAAAAATATTGTTAGCATTAAGGGCGTTCTATTCCCATCATGGTACAACATGCAACGTGCAACCCACCACCCCCTGCTATGTCTACAACAACAACAACAACAACAACAGTAATAATAATAATAATAATAATATAAAACCATTTGAAATTACAAAAATATTTTGGAAGCAATTTGTTTATGTATGAATATCATAAATGTATGAAACTGTTTGGTATCCATATCGATTCAAAACGGTTGAATACCAGAAGGCAAAACACTGCCACACGATTTAGTTAGGTGTTCTGTGATTTACCTTATACACTCTTTTACACATCCTCAATTATCCAGTGTTATTATAATAATACCATGGGTTCGTTCTTTTACACTGTTTCTTTGTCTCTCTCTTAACAGTAACTTCCCTGAGAATATCTCTCGCACATTAGTGTAATTTGATTGGACAGCTATTTGTAGCGCCGTGTCTTTCAAATCGGCTTCATAACGAAGCTAGGTACGAAGGGTATTTAACATTAACAAATCGGGGTCTCGTTCCACAAAGCGATCTTTGTGCAAAGGTTTTCGAAACTCACATACTTTAACATAGACTTACGACAAACGTAGCGTTAAGATCGATTTACCGAGCAGGCCCCAGGATACAATATTACAGCTTGGATAATCGAGGATGATAGAGTCATAATGTTTGAAACCCATTTCGTGTCTACATATTGCTGGAACTTGTACATGTTAATGTGGCGCGTAAACCTCCCGCAATCACACTTCTTTGACTAAAGGTTGGAAGTCTTACTAAATCAAAGAAATGTATTTACGATCAATGTACCCACAGCTCTTATGTACTTAAGAGTTAACTGTAACCTAAGCCACATTCCAGACCACTACCTAAGAGGTCTCGTGTCTCACGTTATGCCATAGCGTAAAAATCTGTATATATACATGAAGATAGAACCAAATTACTCGCATATCTTGCTGATATCATCAAAACACTGTATTGTATACCATTGTTCAATTAATGCTCGGATTATCAACAGAGGCTTCCGTGCACCGCAGACAAAACACTGAGCGCACCTGTTTTGATCCACAATTATGCCTGACTTTATTGGGGAGCTGTCATTGTTTGAACATGAGGAGCTATTAGGATAAAGTCTGTCCTTGAAATCTGATATAGGCAAATTGTCGAACGGATTGAACACATATATATATCACCGAACGTGTCCTCTATTGTGTGTGCACGACCACCTTTGTAGATTAGTATTCGTTACGGTTGTAGTGAGTGAGTGAGTGAGGTTTAACGCTGTTTGGAAAACATTCAGTTACCTCACGGCGTGTCTGCTTCTTATGATTTGTTTGTTTGGTGTTTAACGCCGCACTCAGCAATATTCCATCTATATGATGGCGGTTTGTAAATAATCGAGTCTGGGCCAGTCAATCCAGTGATTGATATCTTGAGCCTCGATCCACGCAATTGTGATACGATGACATGCATCAACCAAGTCAGCGAGCCTGACCACCCGATCCCGTTAGTCGCCACTTACGGCAAGCATAGTTACCTTTTACGGCAAGCATGGGTTGCTGAAGACCTATTCTACCCGGGGTCTCCACGGCCCGCGGGTGTGCTTCTTATGGGATGAAACCGTTAGTGATGAAGGTCGTGGACGATTTTCAAGTTGTGAACCCACAAGCACACGTATGGTGCTGTCAGACTGATCGCCAGGCCAATCTGGGATTCGAGACTACGATTATCGGATTCTGGCATGGCTAAGGGACGCAACTCTGCGCAGCTGATTGCGGCGTGTTGGATCATGGGCTCAGCAGTGACCCCTCGTTACGATTTTAAACTGAATAGGTTGGATGTACTGAGATAATATGTTTCGTTTTATTCTGGGTGATGTTAGCAGGAGGGGCGGTCGGGTAGCCTAGTGGTTAAAGCGTTCGCTCGTCACACCGAAGACCCGGGTTCGATTCCCGACATGAGTGCAATGTGTGAAGCCCATTTCGCCGTGATATTGCTGGAATATTGCTAAAAGCGGCGTACAACCATACTCACTCACTCACTCACTATTAGCAGGAGCCACAGGAACGTAATTATTGGAAATATACTAAACACTATTTAATACAAATGTTATTAACGCTCTTGCTAAATATTTCCTGAGGTCATATGCAATGATGCTCTTGGGATCGATCCGTTAGCTTGACCGACTATGGACATACAAATTTACACACAACTGATACACATCTATTTAGTATCTGTACTGTAGCGTCACTGAGAAAGGTGAGTGAGTGAGTGAGTGAGTGAGTTTTGTTATACGCCGCAGTTAATACTATTTCAGCCGTACCACAGCGGCCTGTGAATAATCAGTAAGGCAAACCAGTGGCTGACAGCATGAACAACAACATCCACACTGTGAGATGTCCTGAAAGCATTTGTGACCACAAGATCATCCGTTTAATCGGCTCTTAAAAGCATGGGATGGGACCGCCTCTGGGATCTAGTGAGAAAGAGCATCTGTATTCGGTTAAATAAAAATAAAGTATCCATCAAATATTAAGGAACCCACAAGTCCCTTAAATTCTAGGACCGCCTCCGTGGTCTTGTGGACAGATCGTTTGCCCGGAGAGTGGAAGGTCAATGGTTTGATCCCCTGACTGCGTCATGACAAAAGAAGTGAAAAGCTATTACTTGTTGTTACCTTGCCTGGTGATCAGCATTAAGGGGATAAAACAATGATTAGTCGGCTCGAAGCCAGTAAACTGTGCCTGAATGGAGCTAACAATATAAACCTGACTTAAGTCCTGACTAGTACACGCAGCCGCACACACCTGCATATAAGTAGCTATACAAATGAAATAATCTTGAACGCGATGTTAAACCCATTCTACCCCATCTCACAAGCATGGGGTGCAAGCGATCCATTCTCACCCGTAATCGAAAAGGATACTGGCTGATAATAATATACACGTTCATCATGAGAGAGAGAGAGAGAAGGAGAGAGAGAGAGACAAGCACTCAGAGAGAGACAGAGAGTTATTTGCGTGTTACGCGTTACAGTGGTAACATACCAACGTTACGCCCAGGCTTATGAGACACGATTACAACATCAATACAAAATAAGATAGTATACAATATGTACAACTTCGTAAGATAGTGTTACACATAGGAAATATAACATGTACATTTCACACAGCCACTTTTAAAGGACATGATCAGGGCAAGAATCGGGACCCCACTGACCCACGCTTGACGTAAAAGGCGGCTTGTGGGATCAGGTGGTCAGGCTTGGTGATTTGGTTGATTGTGTCAATCAGTTCTTCATATAATAAGTTCAATCCGGAACAAATACTGCCAGTGGAAATGTATCGTGGAAAACATTTCCAAATGAAAACTGTTAAAAGAAAGATGGCACAAAGGAACAATATCCCAGCAGGAATATATACTCTTTGCCAATGGCATGTCATCGTATCGCAATTGCGTGGATCGATGCTCATGATGTCAATCATTGGATGATGGTGCCATCACCCATGCGTTCCCTCTCCCTCTCTAGGCATCCGGTATATCACGTATTGGTCTTGGCACCCAATTTAAGAACTCTTGAGTTATATCGGTGTTCATAGCTGGCACAAGTAAACTAGATTGGGG